CACCTCCCCCCCGCAGACACCTTCTAGGGTAGGGGGGGTCACCACCACCTTCCCTACCCCTAACATCTTCTAGGGTATGGGGGGGGTCACCACCACCTCCCCCCCCCACACACCTTCTAGGGTAGGTCACCACCTTCTCCCCCCCGCACATCTTCTAGGGTAGGGGGGCGTCACCACCTCCCCCCCCTCCCTGACACCATTGCGTGTGTGTGTGTGTGTGATGTATTTATTAATATGTTCAATATATAAATATAAAAATATCTATTTTCTTCTACTGTAATATATGTGAGTACGGATCAAATATCATATGTAATAGCACATGCATATTATATATATATATATCTACATAGGCTCCTATATATATATATCTATCATATACTTACATTCTGCCAATATATATATATATATATGTGTGTGTGTTTGTGTATGGACCAAAATATCATATATATATATATGCTGGCACAAATATACATATATATATATATCCACGTAAGCTGCTACAGTGCCACAGGAAAGGTGGGAACGGCTTGGCCATCCAAGTCCGAGATTTGTTCCGATCTTAATCCGAGCACATCTTATCTTGAATATAATTAATATCCACCGAGACTTGTGCTTACGTACTTGCTGGACGCATTGCGGGGGGAGGCGCTGCGCCCTCCCCCCTGCACCCCACCACCCGCTTTTATTTTTTGACCGCTCTTTTTTTTACCTACTCTCACTCCTGGGTCCGTATTGCGGGGGGAGGCTTTGACCGCTCCCTTTGCTACCTAGTCTCACTGCCTTTTTTCCAAAACATTACTTCTTTGGGTTCATCTTATCTTGAATATAGTTAATATCCACCGCGACTTGTGCGTACGTACTTCTTGCTTGGTACGCATTGCGGGGGGAGGCGCTGCGCCCTCCCCCCTGCACCCCCCCACCCGCTTTTATTTTTTGACCGCTCCCTTTGTTACCTACTCTCACTCCTGGGTCCGTATTGCCCCCCACCCGCTTTTATTTTTTGACCGCTCCCTTTGCTACCTAGTCTCACTGCCTTTTTTCCAAAACATTGCTTCTTTGGGTTCATCTTATCTTGAATATAATTACTATCCACCGCGACTTGTGCGTACGTACTTGCTTGGTACGCATTGCGGGGGGAGGCGCTGCGCCCTCCCCCCTGCCCCCCCCCCCCCGCTTTTTTTTTTGACCGCTCTTTTTTTACCTACTCTCACTCCTGGGTCCGTATTGCGGGGAGAGGCGCTGCGCTCCCCCCCTACAATACGGACCCAGGCCCCCCACCCGCTTTTATTTGTTTGACCGCTCCCTTTGCTACCTACTCGCGCTCCCTTTTTTTTAAAGGCATCGTTTCTTTGGGTTCATCTTATCTGGAATAGAATTAATATCCACCGAGACTTGTGCTTACCTACTTCTTGCTGGGTACGCATTGCGCAGCCCTCCCCCCTGCACCCCCCCACCCGCTTTTATTTTTTGACCGCTCCCTTTGTTTCCTACTCTCACTCCTGGGTCCGTATTGCGGGGGGAGGCGCTGCGCCCTGACCCCACCACCCGCTTTTTTTTTTTGACAGCTCCCTTTGCTACCTACTCTCAAAAAATTGTTTCTTTGGGTTCATCTGTATCAATATCCACCGAGACTTGTGCTTACGTACTTCTTGCTGGGTACGCATTGCCGGGGGGGGAGGGGCTGCGCCCCCTCCCGCTTTCATTTTTTGCTCGGCTCCCCTTGCTACCTACTCTCACTCCCTTTTTTACAAAACATTGTTTCTTTGGGTTCATCTGTATCAATATCCACCGAGACTTGTGCTTACGTACTTCTTGCTGGGTACGCATTGCGGGGGGAGGCGCTGCGCCCTACCCCCTGCACCCCCCCACCCGCTTTTATTTTTTTGACTGCTCCCTTTGCTACCTAGTCTCACTGCCTTTTTTCCAAAACATTGCTTCTTTGGGTTCAGGGGGAAGGTGGTGATGTGACCCCCCCCCTGACATGCAGGGGGGGGGAGGTGGTGATGTGACCCCCCCCATGACAGCGGGGGGGGGGGGAGGTGGTGAGTGACCCCCCCATGAGCATGGGGGGGGGGGGAGGTGGTGCTGATTGTGACCCCCCGCATGAAATGCGAGGGGGGGGAGGTGGTGATGTGACCCCCCCCATGACATGCGGGGGGCGGGGAGGTGGTGATGTGACCATCTCCATGACATGCGAGGGGGGGGTGGTGCTGTCACCCCCCCCATGACATGCGAGGGGGGGGAGGTGGTGATGTGACCCCCCCCATGACATGCGGGGGGGGGGGAGGGTTGTGCGGGTGGTGGATGTGACCCCCCATGACATGCGAGGGGGGGGGGAGGTGGTGATGTGACCCCCCCCATGACATGCCGGGGGGGGGGAGGTGGTGAACCCCCCCCAGCCAGAATCACTGGGGACAGAATTTGGTGCACTATCAAAAAAACATAAAGATATTCACGGGGTCTCTACAAAACTGCCGAAAACTCGGCGAGTCTTAGGCACGGTTGTGGAGACAGTCTCTTTGCCGCGTTTGATTTTTAGTTTCAGTTGGCCGCCAACTTTGGTCGAGCGAACCGCCATTTGCACCTGGTCAAAGTGGCAGAGCTTTTGGCCATTCACCTGCAGCGCCGTGCAGATAGCTCGGCTGCTCACACCACTGTCCGTTTGCAACGTGGGTCCAAAAAGGTTGAGCCACAACATTGAACATGTGGAAGGAAGGATCAAAAGACGGCTTAGGCTTAGATTAGATATGATTAGATAGATCAATAAAAACAACAAGTCATTCAGATTTATTCATTATTCTGGATGTCAATTTTGCCACCTTTTCATTGCTGAACACGGACAGGGAAGCCCATGGCACCGTCAACAGAAAAAGGCTGACCCAGGGATGCTAAGGGTATCCAAAGGCCAAACCAGCCCAACTGGCACAACCGGCCCAACCGGCCAACCTCCACGATCTGATCGTTCTCCTGCAACTTTGCTTCTTCTGCTGGGCTGCCCTCCAGTACCATCTCAACAAATGCACCTTGCCCAAAGGACTCCTAAGCGCAAGGCCAGAAATAGTATCAACATGTCTGATACATTCTGAAAGTATAAAATATTACAAAATATTAGTGTTCTTTGGCTTCTCAACGAGCGTTGGGTAAAAAGAAAGCGCAGAACAAAACGGATTCTGGTTCACAGCTTGGGCACAAGACTCGATTTCATCTTCAATCCAATGTATGGACGTGGCACCTTCTTTCTTGAGATAAGGCTTGGTAAAGCACTCCGGATGGAATCCGCAGGTATAGCAAAGCCGATGCCCTCTCCAAACAAGGCCCTCATGCTGATCATGCCAATCACTTCTCCGACTTCGTTCAGCCTTCATTCTACCCGAGGCCCACAAACAACAAACAGAATTCAAATATATATATATAGATAGATAGATAGATATTATATATATATATATATTTGTTTATTTACTTGTTTTTTTATTCATTTATTTACTTATATTTAATTATATTTACAACATTTTATATACAACCTGAATCAAGATGAATACAGCTGACCCTGTAAAATAATGATCTCACACATCCCCATGCAGGTATGAAAATGAATGAAAATGATGGTGAAGTCAATGAAGTGTGCTTGGATTGATCATACTGACCTGACTTTGTGGCTAGCTCAGCTTAAAATCTTCAAAGCAAATAGCCAAAGAATAAGCGCAGCTCTCCAAGCACACGACTAGAAACATTGGTCCTCCACTATTGCCTTGATTGACAGCTGCATCAGTCTGAATGAGAGGGTGTCTCATCCAATCAAAGCCTGTCTCTCCAGTGGATCTGTCCAGTGAAGACACAATACCAAGGGTGCAAGTGTTTTGCAAACCCAAAGGGTTACCTCAGCGCAAGAGAAAGCCTATGAAAGCCCACAAAGATCCACAAAGCTCCCCGGTGTCATGCGGTGTCTATCAATACGTACAGTTGCGCTCCAATCCGCGCACAACCACAAAACACAATCCAGGTTCACAAAACTGTCCAACAAAAGTATGCAAAAGCTGTACATTATGTAATATGTAAGTTGCCAAGGACAATAGTCCAATCACCTGTCTTGACAACTTCGCTATAGCCCAAAGGCATCGCTGGCAATGGCAGCTTGGTCTTCTCCTTCACTTTGAGGGCTGCTAGGTCGATCACCTCATCCTTGGCACGTCAAGTCAGGTGCATCCTAAAGCCATGCAGGATTAAGGTGGAATGGACCTGACTGGCTCATCTATGATACCTACATATACCTACGATCTGATTTCAAAGGTTAATGCCAAAAAAATATGTTTAAAGGAAAAAACCAAAGCATCCGTCTCCAGGAGTTCGCACTCCAAAGATGCATGTTTTCCAGCAAAATGGGCTGTGATTCTGTCGGCCCCTTGAACGACATGTGCATTGGTGAGGATCACTCCATTCGAGGCGTCAACGCAGAATCCAGAGCCTTGGCCTTTGATTTTTCGCTCTGGGGACGATCGGTCTGGCCGGATGCCAAAGAAGAAGGAGAAGATGTCCGCATTCCTTTCTGATGGATCTTTCGCAATTCATCCAGCCATGCAAAGAAGAGAAAAGCAAAGAGAACCAACAACAAAAATTACAAAAAATGAAAGATTAAAGACAAATAGTGACAAATAGATGAAAACGTATTGAAAACATGTTATGACAACAAGTTCAACGAAACAAACAAAAAGATTCGTAAAGGCCGGTACTTCTACCTTCTGCTCTGTTTGAATTCGCACGACAGCAGGCCCACACTTCTCAACCACTCGATTGACAAAGTTGTCCTTCACCTGACGCTGCCCAGAGTGCCGGACCTTAGGGCCTTTAGGGATCTCAGGGTTCACATTGATGCCATGAGGCGGTTGCATTTGGGCACCTGACAAAGGGACAGTTGCCACTGAGGCCACTGGTCCAGAAAAGGACGAAAAGGACTCCAGGATTCCCAATCCCACTGATCGCAGGGGTCTTTGCTGCGACACTGTAGGACCTGTAGGATCCAGCAAGCTTGGAGCACTGCTTCTCTGACCTTCACAGCTTTCTCTGTTCAACCATCCTGACCTCCCCCATGCAAAAGATACACATGATACACGACCAGTGAAAGGAACAAAAGACACTCTGTAGCAGCTAGAAGAAAGAACCCTGCAGACTGACAATCGTTTTGCCTATGTCATGCAATTAGAACTGCAACTGGAAAACCCACAAAAGTTTACCTTACCTGCACAAGCTCCTAGCTACTGTAGAGTCGCTGGAGGTAGTCGCTACGAGAGATTGTGCCGGGCCATTCACGGAACATGCCGCTCGATGCGTAGGCCATGGCTGCAAATGAGAAAATAAAATGGATGTGGTCTCTTGAGAGATCTCATCATCTCGTTGACAATCGGATATATATATATATAGTTGTCTTTACATCGACTCGATGTGCTCGAGAAATGCTTTCAAACACAACCATCGGAAACAAACATGCAAATGCAAAGGAATACTGTACCATATTCATCAATATTCTAGCCCTGGCCCTGGCATTGTAGGGCAAGAAACCAATCAACTTCCTGCATGCTTCGTCTTCAACTGTAAATAGTCTGCGGTTTTCTGCCAGGTGCTTGCATGCCCATCAAGCTTGTCCTGAAGTGTCATGCGGATCATGAAAACGGTTTTGCACCATGAGAGCAAGTGCCCATATTGATCTGGAGTTTGTCACTCAGCAAAGCCCTCATTAGTTTTTGGACCAAGGTGTTTCAAGGGATTCACAGATGCATTGCCAGCCTTCTGCAACCCAGCACAAGGCTCCATAGGCATCCTCCAATGGTCCAGGGTAGCGAACCTGCAAAGGGCCCTGAACACCAGCAACGCTAGAGCCTAGCCCAACTGGACCTAACTGGGGGCATCACTCCTCTGCTGGAAAATTTATACATATTTATAATTAACTATACTAATACGTGTATTGTATAACTCCATTGGTGAACGCTTGCTGGGATCTGCACTAATCTGACCATGCACATACAGTACACATTGTCATGGCACTTCTGTGGGCCTCTGTGGGTGGAACCACAGGCAATTGTCATCAAGCTGAATTTGGATTGCTGGCATCTTTGACTATCACAATTCCGCACTATTTCTGTAGTCTCTCTGATGGGATTCCTGGTGTTGGCCCATCCAATGTGCAACACGTTGCAATGCGTCATGTTCCTGCTCTTTCTTCCATGGAAACCAGGTATGCGGGAAGGATCAGCAGTTAACACCCGTTTTTTCTCTCTGTCCGCCCACCGGCCTACCACACTGACACTTGCACACACCCACACACACACTCTCTCTCTCTCTCTCTCCCTCTCTCCCTCTCTCTCTCTCACTCGCGCCGGGGCGATTTCTTTTTTGGGGGCAGCTCTAGGCTAATGTGAGCTGGACACATGCCCGGGAACCATCTGCAAAGCACATGTTCCACCCAAACGAAACCTATGAATTCTATGAGCCATATTGTTGCACCCATGAATTCGGGATACTTATAACGGATTATTTGTAATTATTATGATATATTTTAAAGTTTTGTCGCCTATCTTGGTTCGATTTGGTTCCTAAGCGTTGCTGCCTTTTGTCTACAGCCGGGCCCAGCTGAGGCACCTCGGGAGGTTGCCGATAAGCCACCGATAGCACCATCGCACTCGAGAGCTGAGCCAGCGCTGAGCAAATCCAGTCGTGGGTGTCCAAATCTCCCGCCACGTAGCTTTCACCGTGGAAGAAGACCTTCCCACGGTTTCCAACACGTACTTACATATTATATATATATATATTATTTTATATAATACATCTATATACATCTCATGTGTATATATATATAGTATATATATTATATATATATATATCTTAGTCTTAATATAAATATTACTGTATCAATTATTATCACTTAATCATGTGGGAAAAAATGTCAGACTTTGCACAGCAGGAAGCAGCAACAACTCCTAAAAGAACTCGCATCTTTATACCGCCGTTTTTTTCCTATTTTAAATGTTGCCTCTGGACTCCGAATATCTCCTAGTCTCACAGAATGCCATGCCCCAACCGTGCCAACAGTCATTGAACAATATTGAACACACTGTGTTTCATCAAACGCCGCAGGCTAGAATCGCAATCAAGATAATCAAGGATCAAAGATGATCAAAGCAAGCATTTGGAAAATGTTTATAATGTTTGAAGCGTTTGGTCCATGGGGAAAATCTATGAAAATCTATGAAATACTATGAAATACTATGAAATACTTGCCTCATCTTGATTCATCTTGCCTCTTTCTCTGGAAACTGAGGCCAGTGCTATCACAGGAGGTTGCTCGAGGCCACCAGCCACATAGGATCGCATGGGAATGGTGATTTCACCCCCATCATTGGTCCTTGGTCCATTTTAATTTTGCACAGCTTTCGAATGGTAATTATATTATGTAATTATATATGCTTTAGTATACTTTAGAATACTTTAGACATCTCTAGGCTGGGTACAACCGGTACGGCCACCATTACCGCTGCAAATACAAGGCCGCTACAAATGCGCGAGAGAGGACCCTTCTGCCCTAGGTGGAAACGCATCCGAGTGGCAGCTGTCGTTTCATTGTCAAATCCGTTCTTTTCAGTTTTTGACTGGACACCGGTGAAGATGGCCAGTTGCAACTCAGCCTGAAGTCCTGTCCAAAATCTTGAAAAATGGTGTGCAGTGCGGATATCATGGAAGACTGACAATGCAGACGGTGCGTTGGCCTCTTGCAGCCTCTTTGCTAAGTGTGAGGAAACTGGTTCGGCTGTTCAACAGTCCAGCAGTTATCTCTGACGCGGCTTTCAATAATTGAACTCTTTCATCATATTTCACCGTGTTTCATCTCAATGCTTAATTATGGTATCTTAAAGGTGAGTACTTGTATCAACATCATATTATCATAAAGAGATCCAATGGATTCCAATGGGATCCCCATCTCCTCGCGGACCTTTGCCACGCGCTCTTCCAGAGTCATCCGGCTAAGCAGCAGCTTTCGCAAGGCGGCCCGGGCCACCGCACCACCCGCCTCCAGCTGCCGCAGCACGCGCTCTGTCTTGCGCTGGGCCTGTCACATCAGAAACTCTTCGGCGAGCCGCTTCGGTCTGTTGGAATGAGGATGGCAGTTTCAGGTCAATTTTCAGCGGTAGACACACACACGTGTATATACATTATTTATTTATATGCGTGTGTATATAATATAATATCTATATATATATAGTATATCAGTTACTCATCATCATAATTCATCATATGAGTTGTGTTTTTTTTTCTGATGTAGGGTGTTATCATTTTATAGGTATCTACGCGAGGCTTACATTTCGCGTACGCGCGCACAATTTCAGCCTACGCGGAAGCTTGGGTGGGGATAGGTTGCCTACGCAGGCCTACGCGCGTGAGGTTTCATGCAATTTTTAATTAAATATGCCTACGCGCCCACAGTCTCAGCAAAATTTTCGTATGATTGCGCACCCTTTTACAAAGCTGTTCATGATCCAATGATCGCATTAAAAACAATGAGGAGGAAGAGGGCCATGTGCTTATTCATTGGTTGTTACATGGTAAGAAGACATTAGGCAACTACCTATTTCGCCAAAAATGCATCGAGCACGTTGAGCGCACGTTTTTTTTCCAGTCCGCAGATGACTCAAACGAAGAGGAGGAAGAGGAACTTGAAGAAGAAGAAGAAGGAGAAAAGTAAAAGAAAAAAAAATGATTCCGCAGGTGTAAGACGCTGGTTCTGCCGTCGCTTCTTGGCAGCAGGGAAACAACATATAATATTATACTGTACGTTGCAGGAGCATGTTTGGGGGCTTCCCTGGTCATGAGAGTTTTCGCCTACGCGTCGCCTACTTTTCGCCTACGCGGTGCCTACGCGGGGGAGCTGCTTTATTTTCGGATTTTGGCCATGCAAACTTCGAGGCTTGAGACTCTGCAGAAAAGGGAACGGAATAGTTCCATTAGCTTTTTTGTTTCTCAGCAAAACAGTTGCTATCTTCTAATTACTTGTGTTTTTTGGACAGCGGAAATTTCACATGCCGCATCGAGCTACACTCATTAGACCCCTCAATCTTGACCCACAGGCTGCAAAATTCGTCGAATCCGCGGTCGCCTACGCAGCGTCTGCCGCAAAATGAAGCAACATATGCCTACGCCAGCCTACGCACCCCAGCAAACTGCCTACATCCAACCATGTGCAGGTCAACTTTCATATAAATCTTTACTTGTAAAAAAAAACTCTGCTCATATAGTATGTACGCATATCGCACAAGGATGGCAATGCTTGGCCCTCTTTCCAGAAATCTGGAAGACATTGGAGGACTATGATGGGAGAAAAATGGCTGAAGGATGCTGAAGGATGCCAAAAGCATCTATTTATGTATGCATCTGCAACATTCTGCAACAATCCAAAGGCTCCACCATCGCCCATCACAACCATTTACAACCCTCCACGGCCATCCACAGCAGTCCCGAGCCTTCAGACTTGCCTTGTTGGAAAGGTTGACTGCATCCAGCTGACTTTGAAGCTCGGCAATGGTCTTCACCAAGTCGTCCCTTTCTTCCAGTAAAGCACGTATCTCCTGAAGAGGAGATTCAAACCCAAGCATTGCATGCTGTACAGCTGCTGTGTCAAGATGTGTCAAGCCACTCTTGCTGAATCACGGGTGCTTTGGAAGGCAAAATTCTGCTTTGTTGGTGTTTGTTGCATGTTTTAGCACTTTCTCAAACTGTTGGAACATGGAAAGGATGCAAGTCCTTTTCGATGATGTCTCGTTTTTCGTTGATTTCTTCAAAGGTGTTGGTCATCTCATCGTAGTAGCCTTAGATGCGGCCGACCATCAAGGCCAGCAAAAGTGTTCAGCTCTTCTCACCAAGCTCAAGGGCACAGGGCTGCAATAGATAGGCAACCGCCATCTGTGCTCTCACAACTTGCCTTCTCTCTCTCTCTCTATGCATGGATGTAGGAGCGCCTATCTAGTGAATGGCGTGGGCACACACAGATATAACATGATATATGGTGCAAGAAAATACGCTTGAAGACAGTGACCTGCCCGAATCCAAGACTAGTCGCCTTTCCGTGCTAACACGTCCACCGGTTCCTTCGGAGCCCTCTTTGGCGCCATGGCGCCAGGGGCCACAACGGCGCTTCGGGTTTTAAGCCGCAGAATCTGATCCCAGAACGCATGAAGCACCAAAGCACAGCAACATAGGATTAGAATAGATTAGATCCTGTACTCATGGTACTGTAGCTTATGGCTTCCTTCAACTGTACATTTCAGATTCATGTTTCCCATGATGTTTGACATATATATATATATAGACACACAAATATATATATATATACCTGAGAAGGGGGGGGACGAAAGCCAGCCCCCAAAGCAATGCTCATGGTTTTTTTTGTCTCTGCGCTGAAGTATCTCGAGGTAAAGGCGGTTGCTAGTTGTTAGCATTCCACGATACTTTCGTCCAGATCAGCTCCAGCTCGGCCGTTTTAGGCCAAATCCTGGCTAGGAGCCTTTTGGAGCCAGATCCAGAGCAGAAACCTGTTGGAAGCAATTTTCTGCCATTTGGCGGCCATTCGGCCGGCTATTGCATTTCGCTTTTGGGAAGAACGGGAAACGGCTACATATACAATTTTAGAACGAACAGCAAGCAAACAGAAGCTATGAACCAGCATTGTGAAGCTAAAAACACATAGACCCTTTTACACACAGACCCTTGCAGACTACACACAAACGTTTTTACACACAAACGCTTTTACACACAGACACTTTTTTACTTCGACACACAGATGCTTTTACACACAGACCCCTTTACAATAGCTTTACACAGAAACACGTTGACACAGAGACGCTTTTACAGACAAACAGCTTCACACAGACACACAGACGCTTTCACACACAGACCCGTGTACGCAGGGACAGCTTTACACACAGACGCTTTTACACATAGACCCTTTGACACACAGACCCTTGCACACACAGACGCCGTGAGACATAGACGCTTTTTTCGCACAGACACTTTTTGACACATAAACATCTTGACACAGAAATGCTTTTACACAGAGACCTTTTTACACACAGACACTTTTACACAGAAACCTTTTTACACACCGACCCTTTTACGCATACACAAAATGTTGCACACAGACCCTTTTACACACAGGCGCTTTTACACACAAACACTTTTACACACATACGCTTTTACACACAAAGGCTTTTACATACAGACCTTTTTACACACAAACATCCTTACACCGAAAGGCTTTTACACAGAGTCGTAGTAGCACACAGACTGTTGGACACACAAACATCTTGACACAGAAATGCTTTTACACGCAGACCTTTTTACACACAGACACTTTTAAACACGAACCTTTTTACACACCGACCCTTTTACGCATACACAGAATGTTGCAAACAGACCCTTTTACACACAGACGCTTTTACACACAAACACTTTTACATACATACGCTTTGACACACAGAGGCTTTTACACACAGAAGCTTTTACACAGAGACCCTTTTACACACAGAAGCTTGTACACACAGACCCTTGTACACACAGATATATCTACAGAGAAACGCTTTTACACAGAGACGCTTTTACATAGAAACATCTTCACACAGAGACGTTGCGGCATGTTTTTTTTACCTTCATTTGGAAAGCCGAAAAATGGTCAAATAGTTGGTGTTTTCGTGTTTTTTGAGCAGTCTCGGAGCAAAAAACTCCGAAAAAAAAAACGTGTTTTCTGACGCCTCGCAAGCCCGGAGCCTTTTGGAGCCAGCTTGTGGGACTTTCGCGGCTTGCGGGCCGGCAACTAAAAGGGCCTTCTGGGATCAAGGGGAAACGGCCATTTTTAGCCAAATCCTGGCCGAAGCCTTTTGGAGCCAGCTTTTAAGACTTTCGCGGCTTGCGGGCCGGCAACGAAAAGTGCCTTCTGGGCTCAAGGGGAAACGGCCGTTTTAGGCCAAATCCTGGCCAGGAGCCTTTTGGAGCCAGATCCAGAGCAGAAACCTGTTGGAAGCAATTTTCTGCCATTTGGCGGCCATTCGGCCGGCTATTGCATTTCGCTTTTGGGAAGAACGGGAAACGGCTACATATACAATTTTAGAACGAACAGCAAGCAAACGGAAGCTATGAACCAGCATTGTGAAGCTAAAAACACATAGACCCTTTTACACACAGACCCTTGCAGACTACACACAAACGTTTTTACACACACAAACGCTTTTACACACAGACACTTTTTTACTTCGACACACAGATGCTTTTACACACAGACCCCTTTACAATAGCTTTACACAGAAACACGTTGACACAGAGACGCTTTTACAGACAAACAGCTTCACACAGACACGCTTGTACACACAGACGCTTTTACACACAGACCCGTGTACGCAGGGACAGCTTTACACACAGACGCTTTTGACACACAAACATCTTGACACAGAAATGCTTTTACACAGAGACCTTTTTACACACAGACACGTTTAAACAGAAACCTTTCTACACACCGACCCTTTTACGCATACACAGAATGTTGCACACAGACCCTTTTACACACAGACGCTTTTACACACAAACACTTTTACACACATACGCTTTTTCACACAAAGGCTTTTACATACAGACCTTTTTACACACAAACATCCTTACACCGAAAGGCTTTTACACAGAGTCGTAGTAGCACACAGACTGTTGGACACACAAACATCTTGACACAGAAATGCTTTTACACGCAGACCTCTTTACACACAGACACTTTTAAACACGAACCTTTTTACACACGGACCCTTTTACGCATACACAGAATGTTGCAAACAGACCCTTTTACACACAGACGCTTTTACACACAAACACTTTTACATACATACGCTTTCACACACAGAGGCTTTTACACACAGAAGCTTTTACACAGAGACCCTTTTACACACAGAAGCTTGTACACACAGACCCTTGTACACACAGATATATCTACAGAGAAACGCTTTTACACAGAGACGCTTTTACATAGAAACATCTTCACACAGAGACGTTGCGGCATGTTTTTTTTTTACCTTCATTTGTAAAGCCGAAAAATGGTCAAATAGTTGGTGTTTTCGTGTTTTTTGAACAGTCTCGGAGCAAAAAACTCCGTTAAAAAAAAAAAACGTGTTTTTTGACGCCTCGCAAGCCCAAAACCACGGTAGTTGCGGTGTTTTTTTGCTCCTGGAACCAAAAACCACGGTGTTTACAGTGTTTTATGGCCAGCACCTAGCAAAAACAGTGGTATTTACGCAGTTTTCAGCATGTTGCAAGACGTACTTTTGCCAGGCCAAACGCACAAAAACACCGTAAATTACAGTGTTTCGGCATTTGAAACCCGATGAAAACCGTCAAGAACCACCAACAAGGTAAAGCCGAAAAATTGTCAAATAGGTGGTGTTTTCGTGTTTTTTGAACATTCTCGGAGCAAAAAACTCCGTAAAAACCGTGTTTTTTTGACGCCTCGCAAGCCCAAAACCACGGTATTTGCGGTGTTTTTTGCTCCTGGAACCAAAAACCACGGTATTTACAGTGTTTTATGGCCAGAACCTAGCAAAAACAGTGGTATTTACGCAGTTTTCAGCATGTTGCAAGACGTACTTTTGCCAGGCCAAACGCACAAAAACACCGTAAATTACAGTGTTTTGGCGTTTGAAACCCGATGAAAACCGTCGAAAACCACCAACAAGTGTCCAAAATGGAGCATCTCGTTCGGGCCCAAAAAACCAGGCAAACGGCAGGTCGGTTTTTGAGCTCTCCCCCCCCAGGCTCCGGCCTCACCTTTCAAAAACGGACCGATTTCGGGCCTCCCCCCCCCCCACACCCCCTAGATTAGCTTCGCTTCGCTTCGCTTATACCTATACTCAAGCCCAGGCCTTCGGCTGGCTTTCGTGATATATTCATAACACAACACTGTTCCAAGGAATTGGCTCGACACAGTCAAAGCGTCAAAATATTAAGCACTGGTCAAGTCGCACATAAAATATCTTCGCAAGGTGCACCTTCGAATTCTCCGGAATGACTTTGTCCCACTTGTGTCATTTTGGTGTCAATGTTAATTTTGCCACTGTGTAAATCCTCATGTGGCCCGCTTCACCTGCTGGCCCCCAATCCTGAAATCAAGCCTCACCAGCCCCTTGCTCATGGAAAGAATCTGCACCTCAGATTATGATATTATATGATGCTACATGAACACACATATATATATATATATTATGTGTGTGTGTATGTGTATGTACATATGTATATATATATATGTTATGTGTGTGTATGTATAATTACATATATTTCAATGTGTATATTATATCTAATTATATTATATATAGATTGTATACGTGATATGATGATATATGATGATTACAAAACTTCAGGCATGCCTGGAATTGCCTGGATGTTCTATGTCTGTGAAATGAAAACGACCGAGCTGCACCGCGTGTGCAGCACAAACATGAGCAAACTGATCTCAGTTTACATACTTGCTTGGGCATCTACATTCATTTCATGCATCTACAAATGTACATAGTGTAATTGAAAGGTCTCCCAAAAGTAACCCGACCAACCTCTGTGCATGACAAGCACCACCACCGACTCGGGCGCTTCCATTGTCAAGCTCAAACACCGCAAACCATGAGCACATGGCACACATGGCAGGCCATTGACTCTCGCAGAATGAGAAGTCCAATGCAAATTGACTATCCAATCTTCTGCGTGACAAAAAACCTGAAGTGAGTGCAGTGGGCTATGCGGCTATGCATTCAGCACGGCATGAGGTCGTGTCAATATATGTCTATTCTTGCATGATTCTATGCTGTGCCATCTTTTCGGTCTAGGGTCAACATCCACAACAGCCTACGCACTTTCCAACCTAGCCTATCCCTTTGTGTTGTGGTTGTCGAGGGATACACTGGGTGAGTGATGTGGTGCCTCACATTAGCCTCCCTGGAGCATCATTCGAATCCACTTTGGAACGGGTTTTGGAATCAGTGTTCTACTTCGTTTGGTAATCAGGATTTCCCCCACGGCTTTGCCGGAAGAAATCACTACATCGAGCAAAAAGAAGTTTTCGGTCAAGTCGCATCCAACGTTTCTGGGTGCC